CTTAACAAACTGGAGAGATACAGCATATAGATTGCAGTGAGGGTGTATGGTGTCTTCTGAAGATCTTTGCCTCTCTCCAACTCCTGTTTCAACACTGTGCAGATGATCCAGCTCACAAGGGGAATGACACACATGGTGAAAAGCGTATCACTTTGTTTAACAAATCTGAGAGCTTGAGTTGCTTGTTCTTTATTTTCAAAAAATTTGTAAAAATATTCTTCTCTTTCCTTCGTAGAAAATCCCAGTATCTCAAAATAACCTGGGCACTCTAAATATTGATGGAGTTTCTCCAAAGCAGTTGGTCTTGTTGTGATTATAAGAGAGGATTTAGGAAGAAGCTTTTTTTGAAATAAGCTGTTCAAAAGAATTCTCACTGGTTCCTTCTTCCAGGGATCAGTGCAAAAGTAGTTTTCAGGCTGATCAAAGGAATACTTTAATTCATCAAACCCATCAATTATGAATAGAAGCTTTTCTTCATTCTTCAATATGTTTTGAATGATATTTTTCGATGAGTGACCCTTGAGCCATCCTTCTGAAATTATATTTGCAATGTTACGCTTCTCTGCCTCTGCATAGAGATTCATCTTTCTACAGCAAATATAGAAAACATAATCAAATTTGTCCTGGTAAAGTTGTTGAGAAGCCCAATCAAACATGATTTTTTTGGCCATTATGGTTTTTCCAATTCCTGCAGCTCCTTGTAGTACAACAACTTGTGGAATTAATCCATGTTTATCAGGGTTAAATAATGTTTCAATGCTGGTTGAAGACTCACAATGTTTCCTTCCCATAGCCAGAATCTCATGTTCTCTCTCCTCTTTAGGTGGGTGATAATCTAGGATCATTAGCTTTGAGTATCTCTCATTCAAGAGCACATATTCACCAGGAACAGCATTAGGATTTTTCATTGTTTCAAATTTGTTTTTAATGTAGTTTCTGAATTCTAAAGAAAGAATGAATAAAATTAGAAGTGTGAAAAATAAGGCTTGCACAAGACACTTAAGTGTTTTGTCTGTGTATCTTCTCCTTGAGGCCACCCCCATCCACCCTCTGGATTAATGTGTTGATTTCCCAAATTCTGAATTATACAACTATGCATATGTACTGATGATACCTAATTTGGAACAATTTCATTCAGCATAAATTCTCTCTCCTAAGTCCTCTCTCTCTCATGTATGTGTGCATGTGTGTGTGACATGCATACATACATAGATACCATGTTTCCCCGAAAATACGACCTGTCCTGAAACTAAAGCCTTGTACCATTTTTCGCATGGGCAAAAATATAAGCCCACCCCTGAAAATAAGCCCCCTGGACAATCCCCCCATCCGGCGAGGCAGAACACCCCTCGCCAACCTAGCGTTATCCCAAAGGCACCCAGCCATGGGAACAAGGTGGGGGCAAAGGCTCTTGCGTTGCTTGGTGCTTTTGGGGTACCGCTAGGTCAGTCAGTGGCGCTGTGCCGAGCTGAAGAGGCAGGGTTGCTGAGCAGCTGCTCTCTTGCGAGCAGAATCCCGAAGAGCCGGATACAGCCTCAGGGTTGAATGGCTGTGTTCCACTGTCGCAGCAGCAACACAGCAGCCATGAGGTGGCCACGCTTGCAAGCAGCTGCCCGGCAACCCCACTTTCCAGCTGGGCACAGCACTGCTGACCAATCTAGTGGTACCCGGAAGGCACCAAGCAATGCGAGCGCTTGTTTGCTGCCGTCCACTTCCCGTGGCTCAGCGCCTTCAGAATGCCCCTAGGTGAGTGAATGGAGCTCTGCATGGCTGGAGAGGGGGCTTATGCAAGTGGCTTTTCCACTCCTCGCTTGCGCGACTCACAGGATCACAATGCCCTTGGCAAACTCTGCAAAGCCAGGGCATCTCCGCTGCTGGCACCACCCGCCACTTGGGTTTTTTTTCTGCTTTCAAAGCATGGAGGATGGATGCTGCTCTGGGAGTACGCTCTATGGTTGTGGGCTGCAGAGCATAAAACCATAGAGCGTATTCCCAGAGCAGCATCCGTCCTCCGTAGTGGCTTCCAAAGCAAAAACAATAAGCCCTCCCCTTTAATAAACACAAGGCCATATTTTGTGGGTAAAAAATATATAAGATCCTGTCGTATTTTGGGGAAAACATGGTTGGTACATACATACATACATACATACATACATACATGCATGCATGCATGCATGCATGCATATATGGCATTTTAGTTACTTAGATTGACACTGCCTTCAGAATATAATAGATTACTAGATAATCCATATCACTATTACATCAAGCTCAATATCATATCCAGAAATTTGCATTTTGATTCCTTTTCATATGTTAAATCAATGTAATGTAATAATCAGGATGTCACGTCCCTGTCAGAATGCTGCCCTTCTGAAGAGTGGGGGAGGATTTGTGGGTTGAAAGTTTGGCATGCTTTCGCTTTTGATGTAACTGCTTGGGGTTTTGAGGGGAGGGAGAAAGGGCCATCTGTACAGGCTGCCTCTCAGCCTGTTCCGGCCTGGTATTCCAAGTCACAGTGGCCCTAGGACAACCTCTTCTCACCATCCAGCTTCGGAGTTTTAAAAGCACTTTTGCAGCATTTTAATGGCTACTGATGGACATGGAGCATTGGGGTGGGGGTTGATGGGAATAGTTAGCATAACGGTTCATGCATGAATTTCAGACTTCGCCCAACTTCTTTGCAATCACTACTTCTCAATAAAAGTTCCTTTTCAAATGCAAACTGTTTCAAGAGACTTGCTTTCTTTAGAAGGTAGCTGAGGCAGATTCTTACATTAGGTGGAGTCTGCAAAGTGGTCAACCCAGAGAGGCACCTACCCTACCATGGGGACTGTGCAACACAAAGCAGTGATCAAGAAGAANCTGCCGCCACCACCAGTTCACCCGAACCAGGGCGAACTTGCAGAATACTACCTCTGGTGTCAAACTCGATTTCATTGAGGGCCGCATTAGGGTTGTGTTTGACTTCAGGGGGCTGGGGTGGGCATAGCCAGCTCGACGTCACTTGTGTCGGGGCCGCCTGTGGAGGCCCAAGTGCTCTGCCAGTGGAAACGGACTCCCGAGCTCCATTTTTGGCTGCGACGGCTTCCTGCAACCCTCTACTAGCGAAAACAGAGTTCAGGAGAGACATGTGCTGCCCTCCTGGGCTCTGTTTTCACTGGCAGAGGCATAATGGACCAGTCCTTTGCTGTTTCAAGGCGGCCCCACGGGCCATATCTAAGCACCTCACGGGCCGGATTTGGCCCCTGGGCCTTGAGTTTGAGAGTCCCCTGATTTTAAATGGAACAATTATTTAAGTCTGATAAATCTATCAAATTTGATTTCTCTCATTTCATTTTCGCAATCTGCCGTTTGCCCCGTTTAACCCTGGGTTGAGAATTTTCATTAGGTTTCCTATAACTTGGTTCCAGTTCTGACAGCAAGCTCAACTGAGCGGCCAATGAGAAGATGACAAAGACAAAGCATTTTAAATTGCATTTTCCCCGTTTTGTAGGGATGCTGCTTGAGGGGGATTGTGTGGGAGAGTCGGGACTTTGAGTTCTTTGAGGGATAAATATAATGTTTTCATATAGTATTGTCACGTGAATATATTGCAACTTTTCCCCCCTTCGCTAAACCAGCCCTGGGTGTGGCCAGTGCATGATGCATCTGGCCGGTGGGCCGCAAGTTTGACACCTCTGTTGTAAATCATCTAGTTCAGGGATCAGCAACTTGCAGCTCTGGAGCCGCATGTGGCTCTTTCATCCCCCTGCTGTGGCTCCCTGTTGCTCAAAATATGTGTCAAAATCGCCAAAGTGCGACACCTGCAGGCACGTGATATATTGAACTTTTCGACCCCCAGTAGGTTTTGTGGCTCCCGGTGTTTTCTTTTCCGTGGGAAACAGATCCAAATGGCTCTTTGAGTGTTTAAGGTTGTTGACCCCTGATCTAGGTCAACCTCCTGCCCAAGTAGAAGAGAGGCCTATATCATTTCTAACAGATGGCAGTCCAGTCTCTTCTTGAAAGCTTCCAATGATGAAGCTCCCACAACTTCTAGAGGTAACTTCTGTTCCATTGGTTGATTGTTCTCACTGTCAGAAAATGCCTCCTTATTTTTAGGTTGAATCTCTCCTTGGTTGGTTTCCATCCATTATTCCTTGTCTGGCCTTCATGTGCCTTGGCAAATAGCTTGACCCCCTCCTTTCTGTGGCAGCCCCTCAAATATAGGAACACTGCTAACATGTCTCCCTGGTCCTTCTTTTCATTAAACTAGACATACCCAGTTCCTGCAACCGTTCATCGTATGTTTTAGCCTCCAGTCCCCTAATCATCTTGGTTGCTCTTCTCTGCACTCTTTCTAGAGTCTCAACATCTTTTTAATAGTGCGGTGACCAAACTGGATGCAGGTATGGTCTTACTAAGGCTTCATAGAGAAGTATTAGTACCTCAATTGATCTTGATTGTATCTGCCTGTTAATGCAGTTTAGGATTGTGTTGGCTTTTTTGGCTGCCACCTTACACTGTTGGCTCATATTTAATTGGTTATCCACTAAGACTCCAAG